CTTAAGTAGAAATAAGTCGAAACCAGTTACTTTGTACTCGAATATTTGTAGTCTCGGGAAAAAGTGGAAAGACAAATTTTTATGACAAACGGATACATAAATCGTAAATTTAAGGAAAATAAATTCTAGAGCTGTTTCTGTACCTCGCGCATCTCTCTCATTCATTAAATTTAGTTGTAAATTACGCTACCAAAATAACAGTTAATTTTTTAACATTATACAAGAATTGTACACGTTTTTTTCTACATTCCCTTAAAGATAGGACATACGAAATCGTAATATCACTGGTTTAACATTGAAATCCGTGAGTAATATAAAATCGGAGAGCGGAATAAATATATCAAATATTTTAACGGATTTTTTTAAACTCCCGTCAACTATACAGAAAACTATCATAAAAACATACAGGTAAATTCTTATCGGTTGGGTTAAGTTATAAATCTATACTCGTGATTCACGTAATCTGGCGAGGGCGGCCAAATATCTAGCAGGCGGGCGGCTAACAGCCCGGAACCGGTCCTGGATAGAATTGGATGCGGTATACGTGTAGCATGCATCCAAGGTCCTAGGCTTCCACCGGCTAAACCGGGTGCGGTTGGTGCTCTGTAAAGCGTGTGCGCGAATCTGGCTTTTTGGATGCTGACGATACAGCACTTCCACTCCGCCACTAATATTCGAATATACAATAGCAATCTTATCTTTTTTTCACGTGTAGTATAGAAATTTGTAATAAGATACATAATGCGGTTATGATAAAATATTGTGCGATTATTTTCATATAATTAAAATTAATATTATCTCTAGCTCTTTCAGGCTAAATAAGGACGTTCCTCGAGGTTCAATCTTGGGTCCACTGCTTTTCAATATATATATTAATGATTTATTTAACTATATACCAAAAGAGAATATACTGATGTACGCTGACGATCTAGTGATAACTTATTCTCATACGAACGTTATAGTTCTTCAGGAGAATTTAAATCACATTTTAAAAACTTTAAATAGTTATATGAAAACAATAGATTAGTAATTAACAAAAATAAAACTAAATTCCTCTGCTTTGCAAATAGGAATAAAATAATCAATCCACATCGCTTAAAAATTAAAATAAATGATTATAACATAGAAAAAGTAAATGCTATTAAGTTTTTGGGAGTAACTTTTGACGACAATCTGCGCTGGAATAAACATATAGGTGATGTTGCACTTTCCCNCACATCGCTTAAAAATTAAAATAAATGATTATAACATAGAAAAAGTAAATGCTATTAAGTTTTTGGGAGTAACTTTTGACGACAATCTGCGCTGGAATAAACATATAGGTGATGTTGCACTTTCCCTGGCAAAGTATACTGGGATAAATAAGAAAATTCAAGCTTTTTTAAGCACATCAAGCTCTTGAAACGGCTGTACCACACTTGCATTGAATCTAAAATAAGATATGGTATTGCTGTATGGGAAACCGCATCTCTATACGCTGTTAATAAATGTTCAGATGGCACAAAATCGTTACATGCGTTCAATTTATAATTTAAAGTTTAAATCTTAAACTTTATGGAATCAGTATCTGAACTCTACCGCACCGATAATATTGACAAGATTAGTGAAATTTACAAGAAACTGATTCTATTGAAGGGTTTCAAATATATAAAGGGCAAAAAGGAAAACAGCTTCCTCGGAATTGGTATAGGAGA